CCCCTCGTCGTTCTCCTCGTCGCGCCCCCCTCCCCCGCTCCCACTCGTGCTCCATCATTCCCTCATTCGTTACAGTGCCACCTCCTCGTCAGACGACTCCTCTCCCCCAAACTCCGCCCGCCCCTTCGCTCTCGTCCGCCCTCTCGCCCGCCGCAGCTGCCCCCCCAAGGTTTCTCCGACCTCGCGCGAGCGGGGGCGGCTGGGCGCCGCACCCGCGGCGCGCAAACGCAGCGGTCGTTTGAGTATACGACCCGAGGGGCGACCGAAACGCGAACCAGGCCGCCCCTCAAATCGGAATCAGCAGGCCGCCAAGGTCGAGGCTGCGACAGGAAGGAATTATTGATAAGGAGAGAGAATGGAAGAGGAGGAGGACGAGGACGAGGACGAGGACGAGGACGAGGACGAGGACGAGGACGACAGGAAACAGTTATTTATAAGGAGAGAGAATGGAGGAGGAGGAGGAGGAGGAGGAGGAGGAGGATGAGGACGAGGAACAGGAGGAGGAGGAACAGGAGGAGGAGGAGGAGGAGGAAAAACAGGAGGAGGAGGGAAAGGATGAGGAGACGACGGACGACGACGACGACAACGAAAGTACAACAATCCGAAGTCATGGGGGGCAGGAAGGCCAAGGAGGCCAGAGGTCAGAAAGGCCAAGGGGGCCTGGGCACGGGGGCCAGAAACCACCCAGGATTTGACTGCAACAAGGAGGTCCGAGCTCCAGGGCACAACCGTGCTGGAGAAACGAGTCCTCCCCCTCGCCCAGTCCTTCCCCATCGTCCTTCTGTGAGTTTCCCCTCGCTGCCCCCCGTGGGCCCCTCCCCTGCCCCCGTCCTCGTCGACCCCTCCCCCCTCCTCTTCACCTCCTCGGGCCCGCGCAGCCGGCCCCCAGGCGGTGTGTGGCGACAAGGCTGGGTCGTGCGACGAGGGCCTCAAGGCAGCCTCCGCGCCTTCTGCTGCCGCAGTCGACCGACAGGGCGGAGGAGGGACTGGCGGAGAGAATCAGTTTTTGCCCCCCCCTCCAGGGGAGATAGGACAAGCAGTGGGATGCTGTTTTCCTGTCGGTGGGGCGCGGCTGGCAGGACAGGGAGGCGACAGGGCAAGAGGGAGAAGCGGGTGCAGAAAGGAGGACGAGGAGGAGGAGGAGGAGGAGGAGGAGGGAAAAGAAAGCCCTCCCCAAAGGGCAGAGGACCTCTGGAAAAGGAAAGCAAGAACTCGCTTGAACACCTCAGCCCTAAGAGCTGGTCGGACTTCTCAGAAGGCCGGGGGACTTCCGAATGGGGCGGGGGGAGGAGTAGGGAGAGGAAAGGGGGAGGTCGGGGAATCAAACAATGACATAAACAGAAAGACCCCGTCCCTGGCGCGCGAAGCGCGCCAGGGGCGGCGCCCGAGGCGCCGCCAGGGGGCCCCGGCGCCGATCCGAGAGAATCCGCACGGACCTCCGAGTTCACATGTTTCTGTCGTTGTTGTTCCGCGGAGGGAGAGGATCATGGGCCTGTTTTCCACCACCACCACCATAAGTTGGAGGGGGGAAGGAGGTAGAGGATGAGGAGGACGAGGAGGAGGAGGAGGAGGAGGAGGACCCCCTCCCCCTCCCACTTATGGTAGTGGTGGTGGAAAACACGCCCACCAGAGGAGGCAGGGTCCGACACTGCCTCCCTCAGGGGAAAAGCAATGGATCAAGGCATGCGGATTCGCGGTGGGCCCCGCTGTCGTGTCGAGTCGACGCGTCAGTCGCCAAAGCAGGCGGCGCTGGCTGCATTTTCCGGTGTGGTGCCTTCCCCGATGCTCAACGGCACCGTAACGGGTACTTACTAACGGGTACTTTGATTGTTTGCCGAAAGTTGCCACTTTAGGGCCTTTTTCTTGCATTGCAGCTTTGCCCACATCGGGAAGGGCTGGGTTCGCTGGGTCACTGGCCAAAGTACCCGTTAGTGGAGTCCCCGTTTGAGGGGCGCTGAGATGCATGGACCTGGCGCCCGCGCGCCAGATCCACAGATCCCCGATCCGTGATAGCGTGTATCCAGCAGGGCGGAGGCGGCGGAAGGGGGGGGGGCGGGGAGGGGGTGAAGGGACGCCCGTCGCCACTGCCGCACCCGAGAGGTGGAGTACGTGATGCCCGACGCCTGAGCGATGGTGTTGCTCGTCCCTGCCTGCTTTCGAGCGCGAAGAGCTCGCGACGCTGCTTGGACCATCGGCCACAGGTGAGGGACCGCTCCATCACCCTCGCCGCGCATGCCCGCGGGCTTGCTTCTCGACCCCGTGGCTCTCTGTCGCTCCTGGCTCGATCTCCAGTCTCCTCCCAGCCTCTTCACTCTGCACTGGCCTCATTTCCCTGCCCCCCAACCCGCGCCCCCCTCCTCCTCCGTCTCCTCCTCCTCCTCCTCCACAGATACTCGAGTATGGATATGTCAATCTGTCTTTCTTTTCTCCCACAAGGCAACATCTTCAGTTCCCCCCCGCCCATGCCGCATGCGTTTCTTTCACAAGACTGCCCGAAGGTGGCCTGCGATGCGTTCTCCCCTTTCAGGATTTTCTCGGGCCGCTCACCGTAATGCTCTGGCCGCAGCGGTTGCCACAGGGGCACATGACGGGAAGCGTCTTCGAAGAACGAGAAGCGTGGACCGTTGTTTTTTGGTTGAATTTCTTCGTTACTCTCAAGTGACAAGCAACGTAGCTTGTATACTATGGCGGATTGCATGGCGCCGGGGGTTCGCGGATGACAGGAAGCGCGTTCAGACTCGAAAAGTCGCGCGATGGACGCTGATGCATGCCCAGAGTGATACAGTCAGACCGAGGTACAAGATCGAGGCCGGTTCGGGGAGGATGCCCTGATGCTTCTTCGTACTTGTTGGCAAGGGCAGAAAAAAAAACGCCCCTACCCTGGTTTACGAGGCGCTGTGCGCTGAAACTCGGGTGGGCTGACAGGGTAAACCCTGCGTGATGTGCCGCGTCCTGGCGGCTCTAGGCTTTGGGGGTTCCCAGGAGGTTCACAGACCACGCACTTGTAACCCAGGGCAGGGTCGTTTCCTCATCCCTCGATGTTGGGCGTCCTTGTGCATCCTGGGGAGGGTACCCCCTTGGATGTTCTGCTTGCGTGGGCCGACGGAGGGTCCCCTGTTCTTGAAGGACGGGCCGGCCGCGCCACGCGCTCGGGGCGCGGCGCGCCCCCCCGAGCGGCCCCTCTCCCCGGCCCAATTCTTCTTCGGCCGCTTCCTCCGCCCTGCACCGTGGCGCAATGCTCTGCAGCGGCACCCCCCGTTCGGGCAGCTCGTCGCCAGCGCAGTCACGCTGCCTAGCCGCCGACGCAACACAGCTTGCGTTGGCCACTGGCGGCGCTCCTGTTCTTGAGGGACGTTCTTCTGGCCTTCTAGGTCCGACTGTGGTCAATCTTGGTCTTCGGGCGCGCTCGTGGTTGTCTCGGCCTCCGTCGTGGCGCTCCTCTTTGGGTTTTGTCCGGCTCCTCGCTGACGGCTCGCTTTTGGGCCGTCTTGGGGTCAGTCGGTTTTTGTTTATTTCGTTCCGTCCTTGGGCCGTCTATTCGAGCAGGGGGTCGACTGCAACATTACTTTACCCCAACATTGCTTTTTTTCCGTCGAGTTCACGACAAGTGCGTAGAAGGTTTGGAGATCTACAAACATTCGATGCGTGCGTTCGAAGATCCGACGAACAACATCATGTCTGGGCTGCATCAGTTATTGGCATGAGAGCGTTTGCTTAAAAAACGTGGCCAGGTATCAGCGGAGGTGAAGATTTTGGGCCCCGAGTTGTTTGTCCAGTCGACGCCTCTACAGAGTCGGGGGCCGGGATCGTTGTGCCCCTCGTGAGTGAACCAGATTGCACTCCTTCGCCTCGATCTTCGATCGGGGAGCCCAGCTCCTCGATCGATGGTCGATCCTCGGTCCTCGGTCATCACCCTCGATCCTCACCCTCGATCCCCTCAAAAAGGTAAAAAAATATCAAAAATAGTCCCCCGACTATTTTTGGATTTGTTTTTTTTATTATTTTTGGTGTATTTTTTATTTTTCGTCGAAGCTGGGGGACAGGCCCGACTTAACCCTACCAGTTCCTCCCACTCCTCCCAGATGCTCGATGCTCACCCGCCAGACGCGGGCCGGGCGGGCGGCCCATAGGGCCGCGCCGCAGGAGGGCCCTCCCCTCCCCCCGACATATGTCGCAGGGGCGGCCGCGGCGCCGCAAAGCCGGCCCGCGCGGCCCGCCTGCGGGGGGGAGAGTTCGGAGAACCTCCCGGCCACTGGCAGGATCGACGTCGCCGCCGCCGCCGCCGCTGTCGCAGTCGATGCCGTCGTCGCCGCTGCTCCCGCCGCCGCTGTCGTCGTCGTCGCCGTCGCCGCTGTGCGCGCCGAATTCGGAACGGGAGCCCCCCTTAGAGAGAATTCGCCCGGCGCCGGATGCGCGCATAGAGCGCGTGCCGCTGGCGCGGCGGTCGGATGCGGTGTCCGGTACCACACCTCTTGCGTCGGGTCGCCAGGGAGGACTGGTGAGTCTGCTGCCGATTCTGCGGTGCTTCCCTTCTCTCTCCCGTCCTGCTCTCCGCCCTTTTCTCGTCGCCTCCGGCCCCCCTTCGCCTCCTCGGCCTCGTCGCCCTTCCTCTCCTCGCCCGCTCCCGGCTCCTGCCCCTGCCTCCTCCGCCTTCGTCCTCTCTTCCAATGTCCTCCTCTTTCTCCTCCTGGCACCTGTTCTCCTCCCCTCCGCATCTTCCTCCTCGTCCCTACTTCATCCCCCTTTTTTCTCTGTCCTGCGCCTTCCTCCTTCCTTGCTCGCCCCCCCCCCCCCCCGCCTCCTCGCCAGGCTTGGCGCCTCCCATGCCAGAGCGACGACGGGAGTGGTTGTGATTCGGGGGTGGACAGAACCCCCAACAGTGACACGTCGATTAGTGAATTGTCCGTTTCCGGTTCTCGAAAGGGCGCCGTGGCCGTTATGTTCCAGGCTTGCGCCGGCCAGGTTTGGGCCTCAGGTCGTTTTCACGAAACCACGTTTTACTAAAGGGGGGTCTGTCCATCCCCGAGTGATCCGAATTAAGTGGTCGACGGCTCCGTGCGAGCGCGGGGTCCCCTCGCTGGACGCTGGAGCCGCGGGCCGGATTTTAGTCTTCCGCGATTCGAGCGGTCCAAAGCGCGGCTTGCTTGCGATCGTTTCTGCTGCACCCTCTCTCTCTCTCTCTCTTTCGCCCTTGCATGGAGAAGCAGGATGACTCTGACCAAGATGTCGCGGGGTCTTGTCGGCGCCGATCTTGGTCATGGTCCGTGCTGGCCGTCGCCGATTCGCGAGGATGTTCCACGCACTGACAGCGTCCGAGATGTACGGTGACCAAGATCGACGCCGCCGTTTCCGCGTGCAATGTTGGCCGTGGTCCCAGCTTTCTTCCCCTTTCCTTCCTGTGTCGTTCTGCCGTGCCATTCTTGTGTTCGTGCGTTGTGCGGGAGGCCTAGGCTGCGAATCGTGGACCCGTCTTGCGCCAGAGCGGGGTAACGGAGAGCAGAGCACGTATTTCAGGAGGGGAAAAAACACACAGACACAATTAATCGTCGATCCCCAGGAAAATAGGGGAAAACGTGGGAAGTGGGGGGGAAGACAAAAACCCAGGAAATATTTGGAAATATGGGGGGTCGTTTTATGTGTGTGTATTTATGTGTGTGTGTGTGTTTGTGGGCCCCTTCAGTACTTTTTCACTCGAGGGCAGAAGGTGCGCAGCTCCACGTCTGTGGACCCAATCCCCTCCGCCTCTGAAGCCGAGGGCGTCGACGATGGGGGCGACGTCGCCCTTGCCGACGTACGAGGCGTGCTCGTCGCAGGAGTCGTGGTACTTACTCCTGCCCACGCTGAACTCCTGCCTGCCTTCGGAGTCGAGGTAACTCTTGGAGGCATCGGACTTGCTCATGCCCATGGACTTCCCTTTGGTGTTGGACTTTCCTTTGCCGCACGAGGAGTACATGCCGTGACCGTCGAAGGGCTTGGAGTCGTACTAGGTCGCCCCCTGGAGGTTCCGAATGTTCTTCAGGAATTTCACGTTTTCGACCTTCTTTGTCATCTCCGCCATCTTCTCAGCGACGGAGTGGTTCTTGTTGTCCTCCCCTTGGTGGAGACGTGTGTTGTCCAGGAACATCACGTCCTCGACGTTCGAGGCCGAGACGACCTCCTGCACCTTCCTGAGCTTGTCCATGTTTTCGTCCAGTACTTTCTGCATGTGCTTCTTTGGCTGCTCCTGCTTAATCTGCTTGGAGTCTGTGTCGGTGTCGTTCTTGGTCTTCCACTTGAAGCTCCGAGTGTTCTCCAGGAGCTGCACGTCGCCGACACCCATGGCCGTACCGATGGCCTTCTTCTCGTCCTCGTCGGCCTGCTGTAGCGCCACGACCAGCGCCTTGGCGTCTGGAATGCGCAGCGCGGTTCTGGACCCGGCTGAGCTTCTGGAACTTCTTGGCCAAGTCCGTGCGGCCATCCCCTCTGAGCTTCGCCAGGGCCGCGGGAGCCGTTCTGCACCCCATCACCTGGAGCGCCACCTGCTGCATCTCTCCTCCCCCTCCCCCTCCTCCTCCTCCCCCTCCTCCTCCCCCTCCTCCTCCTCCTCCTCCTTCTCCTCCTCCTCCTCCTCCTCCTCCTCCTCCTCTGTCCGAATCTTGCTCGCACTTCTCTGGCATCGCCGGCGCTGCCGTGCCGAAGAGGCCCACCTGGATCGCCCGCCTCACGGCCAGCCTGCGATCACCCGCATCGAGCGGCGGGTGCGCGATCGCCTGGAGTGACGAACGAAAAACACACACCCATACCCATAGGGAGGTCGTTGGGAGGAGGACTGGCTATGGGTATGGGTGCGGGTTGTAGGACCCTGGGGAACGCTCCCGTTCGAGCGGGGACCCCCATCCGACAACACGCACCCATAGCCCTCTCCGATCCTCCTATGGGTATGGGTGTGTGTTGTTGGTTCGTCATGGAGCACGCCACCCGAGGAGCTTCATCGCACGCCCGCGCGCACGGCCCGCGGGAAGCCGCCGCCCGCCCGCGCCCACCGGCAGAAGCGCGCAGTTCGATGATGAGGCCACCGCATGCGGAGGCAATTGCAAGGCAGAGCGTAAGCATGTTCGGGTGAGATAGGCAGAGGATAGCCGCGCAGGTGAAGTTTTCCAACAAAAAAGGGGTTCTCCCGCAAAATAGGGGTGATGACGGTCCCGCGGCAGGATAGTCTGCCGACTGCATGGTCGCACCTCGAACGTAGACATCGCGTCATTGGGGTCTTGATGTGTGGAAAAAAGGATTGCCGCGCAGGTGGTGCAAGGGCGCGTTGGCGAGCACCACACGGCCATGCATTGCCGACGTTCTCGGACCATCGCATCCACGCAGTGGAGCAGTTCGCTGCTGGGGTGGACGAGGGCGGAGCAGAGCAAGGCCGATGCAGGAAAGCATCGGTTCGGCGACACGTACCGCCACAATGCACGCAGAACGTCGATCCCAGGTGGATCAGATCAGCGAACCTACCTCTCTGGGCAAAGCTGATCTCTGCGGAGTGCTTCAAGACAAACCAGCACAGCGAGCTAACACAGCGCCACGTAGAGCAGCGCAACACGGTACAGCTCGAAGCAACACGCGGCCACGCATCGCACGTCCACTCGTGCCACGCCGCTCCCCGACACGCCTCTTTCAGCATACATCAACGCAGTGGGGTCACATGCGAACTTGCAGCGCACAGCAACACATTTGCATACTCCAGATTTCGTAATAAAGGGAGGGGGGTCTCATTTCGGGGGGAGGGTCTCTTCCAGGCTATCTTGGAGGGCCTGGGGGGGTCTGGGGACGATGTTTTGGAGGGTTCCCCCACGGGGGAGGTCTGAAATGGCTTGTCTTGGAGGGTCCAGACCCCCTCCCTTTAATTACCAAATCTGGAGTACACCAACGCAGTGGGGTCACATGCGAGCCTGAAGCGCACAGCAGCACCTTTGCATAGTAAAAGCAGGCAGCTCAAAGTTTACTGAGCCCAGCGATGTAATACGCAGGGTGGTCGTGCCAAGCGGCACCAGCGAGGAAAATGCACCACCAACCTTCGCAAACATGGATTCGTCACGTTGGGAGGAACAACATCCTCAGAGCAGATCCAGTCAATGCCGAGCTGCGCGAGTACAGGCTGCACCAACCAAGCGTCGGAAGGTCAAGCCACGCACAGCAGCAACACGCACTTCAATCAAATTGCCAGGCTACCCACATCCAATTCGAAACAGATCATCGCAAAGCAAAGCAGCAACTCGCGGTGCCATGCTGTACTATACCAGCTTGCCGGCCCCGAAATCGGAATCCAAGACAGGCCAAGAGGCCCCAAGATCACCCCAAAATGGCCCAAGAGGTCTCAAAGAGGGCCCCAAAACGACCCAAGAGGGCCCCAAGACCGCCCAAGAGGCCTCCAAGACAGCCGAAGAGGCCCCCGAGACAGGTCCAAGAGGGAGCCCAGACGGGGGACCCGAACGGTCATTTTGAGCCCTCGGCCTGAGAAGCTCCCATGAGGCCCCCAGAGGCCCCTAAGAAGCCCCCCCAGAGGTTCCAAGAGGTCCCCAAGACACCCCCAGGAAGCCCCAAGAGGCCACCACGAGGCTCCCAAGCGGCCACCAAGAGCCTTCCAAGAGGCCCCCAAACTACCCCCAAGAGGCCCACGAGAGCGCTCGTCGTCGTCGTCGTCGTCGTCGTCGTCGTCGTCGTCGTCGCCATTCAGGGTCGGCGGCGCTGGCCGTAAGGCCTTCACAATCATCGCAAAGCAATGCAGCACCACGCGAAGCCGTGCTGTACTATACCAGCTTGCCGGCCCCCACTAGGAAATTGCTCTGACGGCGCGGGGTGCAGCTTATGTGTTGTTGCCACAGAAGGGGCGCAAGCTGTTGGCTTCAATGTGTAAAGGTCTGTGTGTGGAGTGGAACCCCAATCATGGTACAATTCATTTGGGGCACTTTATGACGTGCACAGAATTGGGCGCAACCTTCTGGGCGCAGTCCATGGTGTGCATCTTACGGGGCGCAATCTACGAGGTGCAAGTGATATGGTGCAGTCCAGTGGTGTGTTCCATGATGTGCGACGAGTGCAGTGCAATCTTCCGTCGCCAAGGGGGCTCTCTATTGGGTGCAATGTAATCGGGGCAATCGGTGTGGCGCAGCTGGATACGACACATGTGGTGCAATGGTGGTCACAGAGAGTCTGGCTTCCCAGCGTCGCAGGCCAATTCTTTGCAGCTGCACAAGGGCCCCTTCGGTGCAAGCGGTGTCTGCGAGCCATCCAAAGCCAGCCAGTATGACTGGGCGGGCAAGGCAATGCCAGGTGCCGCACGGCAAAGTGAGTGCAACCTCGTTCACCTTACCATGAAAGCTTGCCAGTTCACGCGAATGCCGCGGGAAACAGTGACACCTACGTGCAGGTGAACGAACCAGCGCTACGATGCAGCGGTTCACATCGAGACGAGGAGGATGAGACACGATGGGTCAGAGGTATGAGTGCAAGCGAAGTCTGCACAGCACCACAGACAACCAACGCCGCAACACGCCACGCGAAGGAACACTCTGGTGCATCATCAGGCAATGCTCATTACATCGGCATCGAGGTTCTCCTGAAATGTCGGAATACAGCTGTAGAATGTATATGTTCGTTATCTATCTTGGACCCAAAACAGGAAAGTATTAGTTAAGCCGTGCTTGGTCGTGTTTGCACGTAGGTATTCTTTGTTCCCTTGGTCTGATTGTCGGTCTGACTGCTGCGTCGTCTGCACCACATAGGTTGCGCACCGCGCCGATTGCACCGCATGCATTGCATTTATGTTACTTCATAGACGGCGTGCCACATATATTGCACCAAAGTCGTTGCGCAGCATGGATTGCTCCACATCGATTGCACAGCATCGGTTGCTGGAAACACGCAGTGCGGGGCCCACGCTGGCGTGCGTTGCGCTCTGGACGTTTCGGCCATGTGGTGCAAGCTGTCTGTAAATTGAGTGGTGTACTCTACGTGGTGCAAACTGGAGGGGGGCAACGAGGCGGCAGCGGGCGGCGACGTGACCAAATTTCGCAGGACCCCCACAGACCACGAAGCGGTATCGGGGTGGCAGCGGGCGGCTGAGCGTCGAAGTTTCGGCGGACCACCTGGCGCACGAAGCGGCATTGCGGCGGGAACGGGCAGCAACGCGGCGAAACCTGGCTGGACCCGCCCAGATCACGAGGCGGCCACGAGGCGGCAACGAGGCGGCAGCGTGGGGAAGTGCCGCCGGAGTCGCCCAGCAAACTCGGCGGCAGCGAGGTGGCAACGGGCGGCCAGGTGGCGAAGCCTCGCCACACCCACCCAGTGAGCGAGGCGGCAACGAGGCGGCAACGTGGCGGAGCTTCGCCGGAACCACCCAGCCCACCAGGCGGCAACGAGGCGTCCACAGGCGGCAAAGCGGCGAAACCTCGCCAGACCCGCCCAGCGCACGAGGAGGCAGCGAGGAGACAATGCGCGGCAAGGCGGCGAAACATCGCCAGACCCATCAAGCGTGCGAGGTGGCATCGAGGCGTCAAAGAGCGGCATCGGGACGAAACCTCGCCAGACCCACCCAGCGCACGAGGCGGCAACGGGCGGCAACGTGGCGAAACTTCGTTTGACCCGCCCAGCGCACGAGGTGGCAACGAGGCGGCAACGGGTGGCAAGGTGACGAAACATCGCCGGACGCAGCCAATTATTTCGGGAGAGGAATGATAACCCCTAAGGGCAAGGACTTTGCAATCGCGACGCTTTTGTGCGACACTTGTTTTGTTCTGCGTTGCCAAGGATGGTCGTCGTACTCCTCTGTTTGAAGCTGCCTCCTGCCTCAGCTCGTCCTCCAGCCCCTCGTGTCTTCTACCGCGTCGTGCACGTTGCTTTCGAGGTTCGGCCGTGCCGTATTTCATGCCGCGCCGTAGATTTGCAGTGAGAGAATCGTTCTCACCCGCAGAAGTGTTAGGTCCTCCCGTCATCGCTGGTTGCAGGTCGCCTTTCTGCCATGAGCCACAGGCGTCCCGGGGGGAAGAGATCCTGAGGCTTGGCATCGCTCGGACGTGTGCATTTTTCCTTCGGCGAAGACCATCGAGGAGCATCCTTGATCATTTGGCGAAAAACCACGCACGAACCCGAAAAAAACAGGGAATGGACGTCCAAGCGATGGCGAGGAGGCGTTTCGCCATCTCGGGGACCTTCGCAGGATCCTTGTTCGTCAAGAGACGACGCAGGATTCACCCGAGAAGAAAGAACCACCACCACCAGCTTTGGCTTGGCATCGCTCGGACGTGTGCATTTTTTCGGCGAGGACCATCGAGGAGCATCCTTGATCGCTCGAAACCGAAAAAAAAACACACAGGGAATGGACGTCCGAGCGATGGCCAGTTTGGGGGGGGGGCCTTTGGGAACGAAGTTCAATGGAGTTCTGATGGCAGTGGCTCTTTATGCGCTCGCGAAGGATGAATCGCCCGTTCAGGGGTTCATTGGTGCACCTGGCGGTGGATATGGACATGCTCGAATCCTAGGGGGCCCGCACGTACGGTCGGTTCGTGTCGTGTCGACCCGCGGCGACCCCGCCGCGGGTGTTCAAAGTTGAACGTCGCCGGTGACCCAGAATCGGGCGATGTTGAACGATCCTGACGTTTCGGGAACGGCCGATCGTTCAAGGTTGAACGATCCCCGCGATGTCGGGAACCAACGCCGGGGTCGACACGACACGAACCTGCCGTATCCACGACCGCAGCCTCCCGAAGCCCAGGTGGATCGGTTTCCCAGGCCGTGGGTACGATTCGACCACTGACCCTTTGCTGAGCGCCAGCGTCCAGCTTTTGCGCCGAAGACCGCCGAGGTCCACCAGAAGCCGCCGAACAGGCACGCCGAATGCCGTCAGAAGACGGCCGAAGACCGTCCAAGGCTTCATGGCTAACAGTCGAAGAAGAGAGTACGACATACACGCCGGTCGTTGGAAGTAGGTATTGCTGGACTCCCAGATCCCAATCTGCCTCAAGCGCCTTCCCACTTCAAGAATCGACACGCTTTTGCTGTGTTTTGTTATTCCCTGGGGGGGCCTGGACCCAATCAACCCAATCCGCCTTCCCACTTCATGTTTTCACCTGCTTCTTCCGACCGAGGTGTAAACACGGGCTGATGGCACTCCGCGCGGATCTCTTGGATCCGCGCGGGGCCCCCCCCTGGCGGCGCCTCTGGCGCCGCCCCTGGGCGCGCTCCGCGCGCCGGGCAGGGGGGGTCCAGCGCAGATCCAAGAAATGCGCGCGGAGCGCCACAAGTTGTTGCTTGTGCCGCTCGCTCTTCTTCCGAAGCAAGGGGGTCCGCGGTCGACTGCCGTATCCGCCCTGGCCTCGCAGAGGGCTCGTCGCCCGTCGGGAGGGCCCCCTCTGGCTCGTGGCGGCTTCTGCCCCGCAGCCGAGCGGCAGAGGCTGGGGGCAGTGAGCGAGGATCCACCTCCACCACAGCGCTGGCCTCCTCGTGCCCGACCCGTGTCGGGGCCTCAAGAGACGGTCGGGCCGGGCGAAAGGGGGGGGTTGGGAAAGGGGGGGTTACGAGATTTGCTGCATGCAGCTGGTTTCGGCCTCACCGAGGGGCCTATTCCTCGATACATGGCCGCCTCCAGCGCCGGGCGGCGCCGGGAAAATCAGCTACGTGAGCTGATTCTCAAACCCCCCCTTTGCTATCCCCCCCTTTCGCCCGACCCGAAACGGGGCTCCATGCACGCGGGTGTCAGCCAGCAGGCCGGATTTAGCATGACCTTGCAGGGCCAGGGTCGCATTGAGCCGGGTTTGGGCGCAGGATTCTTCGGGATCTTTCAGTCATGCGCGGAGGGGTGTATGTGGGGGGGGGCAAGGGTTCTTAGAAGCACCCTGCTTCTCAGAAGCCGCGGGCCTTGTCCGCAGGTGTGAGACCCGCGTCTCCCGAGCAGCGGCCTCCTTCCAGGCAGCCTTCCCCCTCCCCTTTGCCCCCCAGCGCGCGCCGCCCAACCCTGCAGGACCCTGCAGGAACCTGCAGGGCCCAACTGGCCCCCAATCGCCCATTTCGGGGAAGCGTAAGACCCGGGTTTGCCAGGACTCGGGTTCGCCATCGTTTTTTGACGACCGCGACTCGGATTTTGACGAGGAGGAGTTTTGTGGGATGTCTGCAGCGGGAGGCCTCGTCAAAATGCAGGCTCGGCCTCGTCGTTTTTTTGACGACCTCGTCGGGGATTTCCGAGTCCCCCGTGCCCGGGTCTTACGTCTCCCCGACCATTGATAGCTCACCCCGCCGAGGAACCTGCGGAGTCGCTGTCGGGTGCCCATCGGCGGTCGTCGCCGCTTCCCGCTCGACGTTGCCCGCAGTGACAGGGCCAAGGGTCCTGGAGGATCCTGCAGGGCCCGGGCCAGGGCGTCCCCGGCCGTGCCCCCGAGGTGCTCGGGGGGAGGACACCGGCGCCCGACCAGCTGCATTCAGGAAGGAAAAAAACACACAGACACAATTAATCGTCGATCCCCCAGAAAATATAGGAAAATATGGGAAGTGGTGGGGAAGACAAAAACCCAGAAAATACAGGAAAATATGGGGAATCTTTTTATTTGTGTGTATTTATTTGTGTGTCCCAGGGCCCCTTCATGCATGCCCTGGGCCCGACTGCGGCAGGTTCGCGCCGTGCCCACTCGCCGCGGCCCCGCCGCGAGCGCTCGAGGTCGAGCCCCGGCCGCGGCCCGGCACGGGCCAACACGGAGCGATCGACAGGGCGATCGGAAAGCCGCCGGTCCTTCGAGGTGGAACGCGAGGCACGCGGCGTCAGAACTCAGCGCCAGGGGCGTCACGGCACGAACCTGCCGTATCCCGACCCCCACCTGAGCGACGCAAGAACACGGGAGCTCGGACGGGGCTAGGACGATAGGCTCAGGATCAAATCCGTTCCGGAACGCTCTGGGGAGGCCGCGGCGCCCGATGCATCCTACGGGGCCGCGGGCTCCTGAGAGACTCTTATTCTAGACGCTTCGCGTACCCCCACCTGTGTTGCTAATTAGCTTCGCCTGCTGGCCCAGACGACGCCTACCGCTCCCTGTCCGCCGCCTCGGAGCCGCCGACCAAAAAAAAAATCCCCACCTGTCTCGTTCGTGGCCCGACGTCGCCTTTGCCGCCTGACCCTTGTCTGGTGGCCGCTGACCAAAAAAGTATCCCCACCTGTGTGTGGCTCGTGCCATGGCAAGCACCGAATTCCGTGACACTTTGTCCTGTGCACATGCTCGAGCTCTCAAGATGCCGTCCGCCGTTGGCTCCCCCTTTCAGCTTCGCGGCTGCTGTGTGAGCGGGCCGGCCGGCCTGTGCCTGCTGTAGCTAATTCGCCTCGCTCGTGTCCCGGACTTTGCTTCTCGCCGCCTGACCTTTGTCTCGTGGCCGCGACCGAAAAAGTATCCCCGCCTGCCCATCCAGACACGATGTCCAGGCGAGTTGAGGTGATCAGGGAAGTGCGGAAGCAAAGAGGCGGACGGCCGAACCGTGCGAAGGAGGGAGGAGGAGCAGCAGGAGGCTGGATGGATGGATGAGGGAGTGGGGAGGAAAACAACGAAAATGGTGACGATCAGGAGGAGGAGGAGGAGGAGGAGGAGGAGGAGGAGGAAGAACAGGAGTAGGAGGAAGGAGGAGCAGAGGAGGAGGGGGAGGGGGGCGAACAAACGGGCCAGAGTCTCTTGGATGCCTCTCGGAGCCTCTCGGGATATCGCTTTGGCACTTATTGGTGGCATGTTGGGACGTTTTGGGGGTCTCTTGGCGGTCTTGGGGGGCTCTTGGGCGTTTTGGGTGCCTCGGGGGGGGGCCTCTTGGAGAGTCTGGGGGGCATCTTAGGTGCCTCGGGGGTACTCTTGAAGCCTTTTGAGGGCCTCCGGGGGGTCTCTTGGGAGCCTCTCTTGGAGGCCTCTTCGGGCCCTCATGGGGCGCTATTGGGACCATCTTGGAGGAGATCGATCAAAAAAGGGAGGAGTTTGTTTTAGCCTTCCCCCCGAAAGAGGCCAACATAGGGCCAAAACCCTAGTACAACCAATGATTTGGGCTTGTTTTGGACGCTCCAACGCGTCGCGCCCCCCCCCCCCCGTCCAGGTCCAGGGGAGGGGGGAGGGGGGAGGGGTCAAGACTCCCCCCCCGCCCGCAAGCCGTCTCTCTCACTCCCACCCGCCCTCCCAACACATACGTAGCACCCGAGTCTGGCCCGAGCCTCAGCATATTCAGCAGTCGTCTTTGGATGGGCAGCTACTGGGGGCCAATCCGCCGCCGCCGCCACCGCCGCAGCCGCCGCCGCCGCCGTTGCCCGCCGCCGCCGCCGCCGCGCCGCCGCCGCCGCCGCCGTTGCCGCCGCCGCCGCCGCGCCGCCCGCCGCCGCCGCCGCTGCCGCCGCCGCCCCCGTTGCCAAATCGCCGCAGCCGCAGCCGCTGCCGCCGCAGTCGCTGCCGCCACCGCCAAGGGATGGTTGGGGGGGGCCCTCATGCTTCCTGGTTGGCTATCAGTCGCCTGGGGGAGGGGGTGTTTATTAATAGGGAACAATGATACACCCCTCCCCGAAGGGGAAGAAAGAGGGGAAGAGAAGCCTCTCTGACCACCTACGCCCAGAGGGCTGGTGGGATTCGCCCTCACCCGAAGTTGGTCTCGCCCTAGCTTCGTCTCAGGGTCGTTTGCGCCGACACTCATGCGTAAGCTGCCCGCGCAGGGTCACGCGTACAGTCGGACCGAAGTATAGGATCGAGGTCGGCTCGGGGAGGATACCCTGGTGGTCTCCGTGCCTGTTGGATGCTGTTGTGCATCACGGGGAGGGTACCCTCGAATGTTCTGTGTGTTTTGGCCGGTGGAGGGTCTCATGCTCTTGAAGGATGTCTTTCTGTCGCAGGTCGGTCTGTAGCCGTCGGTCCTTGAAAGTAAGTACTTCTCTGTGCTCAAGTCCCAATCTGCTCTGGGCGCCCTCCTGCTTCAAGGATGGAGTGTTGTCGTCCCCCTTCCCTCGTCCTCGGGGGGCGGGCGCAAGCCCGACCTACTTTCAACACCTTCTTATGTCATGTTCCTACCTCATGTTTCCGACCGACTGGTGTATATACATATATATATACAAATATTCATGTATAGGCTCACACGTCGATCTATCTAGTTAGCTATCTATATATATATATATATCGATCGATCGATCCATATATATATACATATCGGTATGCATGTATGTCGATCTGGTTATCTATATACCTATATGAACACATATATATATATATATGTATGTGTTGCATTTGTAAATCTGTCTATAAACATATATGTGTGTGTAACTATATGTATAATTATATATATATATGTATATCTATACAAAGTTCCACCCATAGCTGTGCTACTACAGCCGGTTCCTTTACTCATAGAACATTTTAGCGGATTTGGCACAGCTTCGGTCCTGGCTAGGGAGGCTGGTTCTGGAGCGCCTCAGGAGGCCCCAAGGCGGCCCCGGAAGGCCCCAAGACGGCCCCGGAGGGCCCCAGGAGGCCCGAGGAGGGCCCGACGAGCGCCCCAAGACGGCCACGATTGGCCCAAGATGGCCCAAGATGAGCCCAAGATGGCCACTTTGACGGCCCAATGGGCTCCCCAGGTGGTTGGCCCGAAGACGACTCCCACGAGGCCTCCGGGAGGCACAACTCATAGGTTTCCGGAGGTTGTGGTGCCATTTTCGCATATTCTGCTTATCGGTCTCCAGAGCTCGAGACGGCCGAAGAGGCCCCCGAGATCGCTCCAGTATGACCCACCAGGCGCCCAAGAGGGCCCCAAGACGAGCCCAGGACGGCCCAAGACGGCCCCAAGACGCTCCAAGAGGGCTCCCAGAGCGGCTCCAGACGGCACAAGAGGGCCCCGAGACAGCCCAGCAGGACCCCCAGACCGCCCCAGAACAGCTTCAAGAGGCTCCCAAGAGGGGCCAAGACGCCCCCAGGGAGCCCCAAGACGGCCCAGGAGGCCCCCAAGTCGGCCTGAGAGCGGCCTCAAGAGACCCCGAAGAGGGCCCACTCGGTTCGGTCGGCTCTCCAGGCTCCCAGAAAGCCTCCAAGAGACCTCAAAGACAAAGGAACTTGACAAAACAGGGAATTCAAGATGTTTTTTTTCCAAGTTTGGGCTCCTACACCCTATCCTCTTCCTCGAGCCCCATCAAGACTTCGGGGTCACATGCAACGACGTTTCGGGAATTCTGTCGATCTCTCGAACGCTGTCTTGGCACTCTCTTGGATCGTCTTCGTGTCCTCTTGGCTGCCCTGAAGCCACGGTAGAAGTCGAGCTCACATGATCCCATAATTTAAAAACAAGGAATGTTATATTTCCTTTTTTCAAACTCACCCCATGCCTATTTTTGCACGAAGACCACGAGAGGCATCCTAACAGGTTGTTGCATGCATCCAGAACACTTTTAACCCACAGCCCAGGCACGGCAACGTGAAACAAAAGGGAATACAATGCTTTTGTTTTTTCATGTTCGCCCCCCCTGTCCACTCTTGCACAACAGACCACAAGTAAGGCCCCCCTCAACTCCCAGAAAAGAACCCAGGAAGTCTTTGAGGGCCCCAAATCGTTGATTACCGAACGGGAATTAATGATTTCTGCGTTTCCGCAGTTTCCCCTCTATACGATTCCGAGGCTTGCGCAGGGCCTCCACGAGAGTCCCTGGATGCAAGAAACGACCAAATTTAGATTCCATGAGTTAGCCCATCAAGCCTAGCTAACACTTGAGCGCGCGCGAAGCACGCGATGGTTCTAGTGTGTGTATATATATCTATATGTATGTATGTATGTATGTATATATATATATATGTGTGTGCATATATATATATATATATATATATATATATATCCCCGTGCACGAGGTCTGGGCGCCCGGGGCCCGGGGCACGGGGGGGCATGGGAGGACCCGGATTTCCCAGACCGCTCCCAGAGTACCCTGGAGCGGCCCTGGAGCTCCCTGCCCCAGAGAGCTCCCAGGAGCCATCGGGGACTTCGACAAGCCTCTCCAAGACAGCCCAGATAGCCCCCACGTGGCCCACGATGGGTTTGAGACCGCAAATGCACAGCCCAAGAGGCCTTCAAGAGGCCTCAGGAGAGCTCCGAGAAGCATTCCGAGAGAGCCCGAAGAGGCCCCAATCATTGATTTTCATGCGTGTCGTTTATTGTTTTTCGGTTTCTCGCGTGCGCGACCTTCCGACGCCCCAAGGCGGCCGACGACGCCCCCAAGACCGCCCCAAGACCGCCGAAGAGGCCCCCCAAGGAGCCCCGAGACGGCGCCAGGGAGTTCGACAATTGCCCATGAGGAGCCCCAGACGGCCCAAGGGAGCCCCAGGACAGGCCCAAGCTGAGCCACAGAGCGCGAGCAGGAGGCACCAAGGCGCTCCCAGACGGCCCAGATGGCCCCAACGTGGCCGCAGATGGGCCCAACGCGGCAAATGCACAGCCCAAGAGGCCTACTGGCACAGTGACCTCGTGGCCTAACTTAGGTAATCGGTTTTAGCGCTATCGCTAAACATGTGGGTGGTTTCGTCTGAGACATCTGCAAAAAAGACCCCCCACGTATCCCTAATGCTTGTGGCCCTCCTATCTTAGGGCCCCTCTAAGAATAGGGGTATTTCTTCTGCTCCTTAAGGAGGTGCCGAGGCTGAAAGTTGGCTCCTGGGGTCGAGGTCGCTTGGGCCCGCGCCGCGAAAAGGAGTTGCGCCGATCGGAGGAGAATGGATGCTCTCCCCTCAGCCTGTCCGGGCCACCCCGTCGGGGCCGGAGCAGACGGGGTCTGAGCACCGCGCAGCGCAGCTCTGCCGATGCATCGGCGATGGCTCCGCGATCCGTAGCCCGATTCGATCTCGACGTCGTAGAGGCATCGGCGGTGCGTCGGGGGAGGAGAGCTGTGCGCATGAACACACCGATCCCGACCAGGCCCATCTACTAGGGACCGGCATCGGTGCATATGCCTCCCTGGCAAAGCCAGGAGGGCGCCTGCGCCCACCTGGGGCCCAGGATGGGCCCAGCTGAGATCGGTGTCCGTGCACAGTGCTCTCTTCGACTAGGACGTAAGAGTGACCTTTCGCCGGAGTGACCTTTGGTGCGGGCCCAATGGTCTGGGCCTCCTAGATGGGGTCGGAGAAGATGGTGTCGGAGGATCGCGCCGCATCGGCCATGCATCGGCGATGCATCAGCGATGCGGCTCGATGCGTGGCCCAATTTTCTACACGCCAAGGTCGCCGATGCGTCGCCGACGTCGCCGAGATCCTCCGACCCCATCTGTTCGGACCCCATCTAGGAGGCCTCTAAATGGGGTCCTCCGATCGCCGAACGCGCTGCGGTGGCAGCGTCTTGCGCGCTCGTGTGTGGTCCCCCGCGGCCCTCGAACGCCGCGCACCAAGGGTCGCTCTTGCCCCGGGTCGCTCTTGCGCGCAGTCGAGCTTTCCTCCAGTGCGGTGCGGTCTTCTGGCCTCTTCTGCTCGGGCCCCAAGTCGGGCGGCCCGTCTGCCGCGAGAGTGGCTCGAAAGACTCGCCGGCGCCGCACGAGAGGAGGCTCGCCGGAGGCGCGCCAAAGGGGGCCGCTCGGGGGGCCCGGGGGCACGCTCGCTGCCGCCGTTCGCTCCCCCCTTTCCCCTCTTCGTCCTCCACCTCCTCGTCCTCCTCCTCGTTCCTCGTCCCAGCTCAAGCAGTGGCAAAGCGTCCCGGCGTACCCATAATCAGGCCCCACAAGCAAGATTCTAAGCATACTGCTGGTGGTTTCTAGGAACTGTTCTTAGAGCATTTCTGGCTCGGACTGTTTTGTTTTAGTATATCGTGTTTATATACTAAGAACGTTGCTTGTGTTCTTAGAACACCCTTGGTTCTAAGAACATTTTGTGGTAGGCGTACAGGAATGCCGGGACGATCGGTCCCTGCTCTACCATCCCCCTCTCGTCCCCCTCCGTGCCACAGAGCTTCTTCGCGCTGGGCAGGCCAGTCACGCTGCCAGGGGGAGGTCATCTCAGCACGATCGAATTGGGGATGGCGGCAAGCAGCAGTCCTTGCCCGTTTGAACAGGAGCCCTTGTCGGTGCCGCCGCGGACGCTGCTCATGTGGACGTCGCCTACCGAACACCGGCCGCTCTCGGGCTTGGGACAGCATTGGTTGCCGGGCATCGCCCCCACTTTTGTCCGAACCTTTTTCGGACGTGCCCTGCACACTCCTGGGAAAGGTGTGCAACATGTTCGGGTGCTGCTAGAAGTGGCCCTGGGCCAGGGTGCCCCCAGGATTCCCTGGCTGGCCCAGACGGCCCCCAGAGCACCCCTCACGAGGCCTAGAGGGCCCCAGGGGGTCCAAAATGGAGCGAAAAGCTGGGGGTACCTTGGGCCAGGGGTACTTCCAGCAACACCCGACATGTCACTCCGACTCCTCGTCCCTCCACCCGCCCGATCCCCGATCTCAGCGTTCCCAACCGGCCCCTCCAGCAACGATGCCCGGGCGAGTGGCATTGGTCGGGAGAGCGTGGGATCACGCAGTGGAATAGAAAGGGGGGGGGGGGGGCGGGGCAGCCGTCAAGCCGAAGATCGGGGTCCGCCTGTCACCACCCACCAAACCACCCCAACCCAACCCGGAGGCTCAGATTTACCCTCGATTTCCAGTGGGGGGGGTCGGGAAACATAGAAGAGACACATGTGGAACCCTGACCCCCCCAAACCCGAAATTCGGGTCTTCGGGTTGGGTTGGGGTGGTCTGGTAGGTAGCTAGCCTGAGCAGGCCCATGAGTCAACCGTAAATGTTAAAGTCGGGCATGTCCCTCTAATTACAGGAGGAGCATCCAAAAATAGTAACGAATAGTCTGGGGACGACTTTTGCTTATGTTTGACTATTGTTGAATATGTGCGTTGACAAGTTTTCATTTTTCATCCAAAATCCGCCTGTAGGGGGACATGCCCGACCGAACATACATGCATTCTCCGATCTTTCGATCTGGGAGCCCGTTGGCAGCTTGCTTGGGCCATCCAAGGGTAGTTTTCGAAGCCTTTGGAGGTTTTCCTAGAGCCTTGTTGGGGCTCCTCAGGACCCTCCTGGGGGCTGGGGGCGCTCTTGGAGCCATCTTGGAGGACATCCAACGAAGAGGGGTGTACCAAACATGGTCCCCCCGTCGGAGGCAGGAACATTGCCTCTTGGGGCGCCCTTGGGGCTATCGTGGTTTGGGCCCCTCTTGGGGCTCTCTTGGGCCATCTTGGAGCCATCTTGAGGCCTCAAGGGCCCATCGAAGGCGAGAAGACAACAAATATTCATATCTCGTCGTTTTTGAAAGGGTTTGGGGAGGGTCCTTGGGAGGCTTCGCGGCCACTTGGAACCGTCTTGGGGCGGTCTTGGGGCCCTTTGGACGCACGTGGGAAGCATGCTTAAACCATCTTTGGCGATCTCGTGCGATCTTGGAGGATATCTTTGACTATCTGGAACCGTATTGAGCCATCTTGGGCCATCCCGGACGACCCAACGCGTCGCAGCCCCCCCCCGCTAAGTCCAGGGAGGAGATAGGGGAAAGGTAAGCCTCTCCCCAGAAAAGTTGAAAGAGCCGGTGGGATTGAGGGGGCGCGTGGAGAGGCACCACGCGCGGGAGTTGCTTCCCCATATCCTAAGATGGGGTTCTTGTTATTACTTGGACGCCTCCTACTCCCTCTCCCTCCTCCTCTTTCCTCCTCCCCTCCTCCTCTTTCCTCATACTCAGACCTACTCATACTCAGACTTACTCATACTCAGACTTACTCATACTCAGACCTACTCATACTCAGACTTACTCACACTCAGACATACTCATAAACAGACTTACTCATACACAGACTTACTCACACTCAGACGTACTCATACACAGACTTACTCATCCCCAGACTTACTCATACACAGTATTGCTCATACTCAGACTTACTCATACCCAGACGTACACATACACAGACTTTTTCATACACAGACCTACTCATACCCAGACTTACTCACACACAGACTTACTCATACACAGACTTACTCATACTCAGGCATACTCATACTCAGACCTACTCATACTCAGACTTACTCAACACACATCAGATTTGGAGGATGTCTCAAGCGGGGCGCTGGTTTCAGCACCCCTAAGGGGAGCCGCCAGGGGTGTTTGCACGGGCTCGTTCGCGGCCATTTTGTGGGGATGTCTCAGGCGGTTTGCTTGTTTCTGGGCTCAACATCCTTCGCTTGGAGAGCAGATTGTGAGGATGTCTCAGGCGGGGCGCTGGTTTCAGCACCCCTAAGGGGAGCCGCCAGGGGTGGTTGCACGGGCTCGTTCGCGGCCATTTTGTGGGGATGTCTCAGGCGGTTTGCTTGTTTCTGGGCTCAACATCCTTCGCTTGGAGAGCAGATTGTGAGGATGTCTCAGGCGGGGCGCTGGTTTCAGCACCCCTAAGGGGAGCCGCCAGGGGTGGTTGCACGGGCTCGTTCGCGGCCATTTTGTGGGGATGTCTCAGGCGGTTTGCTTGTTTCTGGGCTCAACATCCTTCGCTTGGAGAGCAGATTGTGAGGATGTCTCAGGCGGGGCGCTGGTTTCAGCACCCCTAAGGGGAGCCGCCAGGGGTGTTTGCACGGGCTCGTTCGCGGCCATTTTGTGGGGATGTCTCAGGCGGTTTGCTTGTTTCTGGGCTCAACATCCTTCGCTTGGAGAGCAGATTGTGAGGATGTCTCAGGCGGGGCGCTGGTTTCAGCACCCCTAAGGGGGGCCGCCAGGGGTGTTTGCACGGGCTCGTTCGCGGCCATGTTGTGGGGATGTCTCAGGCGGTTTGCTTGTTTCTGGGCTCAACATCCTTCGCTTGGAGAGCAGATTGTGAGGATGTTTCAGGCGGGGTGCTGGTTTCAGCACCCCTAAGGGGAGCCGCCAGGAGTGTTTGCACGGGGTCGTTCGCGGCCATTTTGTGGGGATGTCTCAAGCGGTTTGTTCGCTTCTGGGCTCAACATCCTTCCCTTGGAGAGCACATTGTGGGGATGTCTCAGGCGGGGCGTTGGTTTCAGCACCCCTAAGGGGGGCCGCCAGGGGTGTTTGCACGGGCTCGTTCGCGGCCATGTTGTGGGGATGTCTCAGGCGGTTCGCTTGTTTCTGGGCTCAACACCCTTCGCTTGGAGAGCAGTTTGTGAGGATGTCTCAGGCGGGGCGCTGGTTTCAGCACCCCTCAGGGGAGCCGCCAGGGGTGGTTGCACGGGCTCGTTCGCGGTCAGTTTGTGGGGATGTCTCAGGCGGTTTGTTCGTTTTCATGCCCAACGTAAGGAGTCAGACCATCAAAGACAAGGAGACGTACTCCAAGATGCTGAACGTCGCCAACATTTACAACACGGGCCGCATGCACGGCGTGCTACCCGCCCACGTGGGGATGCGGTTTCGTTTCATTGGCAAGTTCAATGGCAAATATGGCTTGGTCCAGGAGCAACGGGCCACGATCGTCGACTTTGTGTTCCACGAGGACGACCAGGTAAACTACAACAGCGCGGGCCCTGGCGAGCTCTTCAGGCTGCGCCGCTCGCCCGCTGGCATCTAGCTGCAGGTCGACGATTTCACGGAGGCGCCCACGTGGAAAGATTTCATGGACTACGTAGGCAAAGAAGAGAAGATTGCACGCGGCCTCTTCTGCATGCCCCTGATGGAGACAACCTTCACATGGGAGGCTTCGTCCGTGGCGCACAGCGTGAAGCGGTTTGGTTTCATGCTCTCGCACGCGCACTACCTGACGACGACAGCCTCGCAAGGGCAAACGATACGCGCTGCAGTGACCATTGACTGCGCGCGCCAGGTGCCTCAGGGGCGACGAGGCATCAACGATGACACTTGGTGGTTGAACCTCTACGTGATGTTCTCCCGCGCCACTCGGATGGCGGACATGTTGCTGGTGCGGCCGCCGCCTCGCTGGCTTTTGGAGAGAGGTCCGCCAGCGTCAGTGAAACTCGCTCTTCGACGCTTCGCGTCGTCTGAGGACTCGACGGTGGCGAGGGCCGCCCTGCTTGCTGGGGAGAACGGGATAACGCTGCCTGAGGAAGAGTGACGGCCCGTACTCCTTCCGGCCCGATGCCCAGTGCGGACGGCATTTTTGCCCAGATCCCTCTGCCGCTTGCCTCGCACTGCAAAGCCCGACTGGCGGGGCACGCCCAGTGCAGACGGCTGTTAGTCTGCGTGCCAATCTCAATGCCGCTACACCTTTGTTCACGCCAGCGCCCGAAACCGAGTGCGGACGGCGCGGGCGGATAACCTTTGCTGCGGTTGCCCGATGGCATTCGTTTTCTCCTTGCGCTTCCATGTACATGTAGCGCATATCCAATGCCACCGGCAGAAGCCCAGTGTGGACGGCGTTGGCGTTGACATGTTTGAACTCTCTCTGGTTTTCCATTAGCAAGGAGTCTCTTGTCGATGCCGGCGCTCGAAACCCAGTGTGAACGGCGCGGGCGTTGACTTTTTTGCAAAACATGTTTGCGCCTGAGGTTGAGACCCGATGCGAAGTGCGGACGGTTAAAGCTGGGGTGCAGGTCGCGAGGTGCCGCTTGAAGCACTTGTCACTCGTGCTCCCCATGGTGCTTCGGGCGCGGCGCCGAGGGAATTCTTTGCCTTGACAAAAAAGATGCGCGGGCATATGCGCGTGAATGAATGCATGCACGCGGTGGATGTGCAGCCGCGCTGCGC